CCACCCGCACCCTACACTTGCCAACAATTCCTGGCTGTCAAAATAGCAGTTCTGTGTAAATACAACAGATGTAGTAGCTGCTGGTCTGGTCTGTTTATAAACAATGTACAGAGGGAGAGAGAGATATAAAGTAACATTGTTACTTTCACATTTACTCTGTTTCAATGATCTTCACAATAGAATCCATTCTGGCGGCCCAGCTGCTGCCAGGTCACTTCTAGGGGCCTTTTTTTTTTTTTTTTTTTCCAAAAAAAAGTTTTTTTTTACTTCTCGATCCTGTGCTGGCAGAGAGCCGTGACAGGGGAGTGACTGGATTCCCCCCTCCCCGCTCCTCCAGCGCTGACTGGCGGAACGGACGGGGGAGGGTACAGCTGGCTCTGCCGCTAGATAGGCAGAGCCAGCTGTCATACAGCTGGGCGGATCCAGACAATTGTCGGGATCCGTCTCAGCTGCAGCGTCTCAGTATACCGCAAGCATCGCTTAACTGGTAGAACGGATGGGGGAGGGGGCGGGTACAGATGGCTCTGCCTCTAGGTAGCCAGAGCCCGCTGTCACTCACACAGCTGGGTGGATCTCAACAGTAATGTCAGGATCCACCCCGGCTGCGCGGTCTCCGTATACCGTGAGCTGTAGCCTGCTATATACCAAGCTTTGGGTCACGGGAGGAGGCTAATATATGTCCTCCTGTGACCCTTAAGAGAACTATTGGGAAAAACACTTACCCCATAGTTCTCTTTAAGGCCCCGTTCACATATAACGAATTGTCGCGCGATTTCCGCCGCGATATCGCGCATTTTTGCCGCGCGATATCGCGAGAAGTCGCCGGCCAATGTTATTCAATGGAGCTGTCTTAACTCCATGTCGCGCGTCGCGGTCGCAAGTCGCTTCTACCGGACCCTTTTTTCGGCGGATTTTGCACGATTTTACTTTTTTTCTATGGAGCCCGACGGGGAAGGTCGCACTACCGTCGCTGGAACGTCGCCCCGAAAGTCGCGCTATCCCGCCGTGCGGATCCGCTGCAAAAGGTATGTCGCTATATGTGAACGGGGCCTTAAAGTGCCACCATTTTACTCTGCTGGGTGTAGGCTTTCAGATAATGTTTTATATAATGCTTTGGTGATTTTAAGTAATTTTCAGGTCTAAAATGTGGATTAATACATGTGTGCAAAAAACAGAGAGGGGGGAAAAAAAAAAAAGGGGGGGGGGCCTTGGCACTCTCATTGGCCCTAATTAACTCAATCTTCCCCTTGTCCTCATCCATTTTCCTACTGATTTTTCTTAACTTCAATATTTAAACTTTTTTTTTCATTTTTGTTGTTTTGCTTAATCTTTTTTTCTTAGACTTTTTAAAAAACATTAATAAAAGCCCCCGCCCCCATTCATAAATAACTTTGCAATGCTTTGTATCAGAATTAGTTTTAGACCTAAATTTTATATTGGATGAATTATAACATGTATACTTTGATGTACAGTAACACAATTACTTAAAAAGATTCATCAAAAGTAGGGGGAAAAAAATGATTTTTTTAAAAGTTTTGCATGTAAATATTTTGTATCCCTCCAAGACAAGATCACCAATAGAAATCCTTGTTTGCCCCCAAACACACACACACACATATATATATATATCATTTTGGTATTGCTGAATAAACGGGCCCATATCAGAAATGTAAATATTGCTCTGGTCTATACCTGGGTATGGGGGAAGGGGGGGGGAGAGAGCTGAAATGATTAAAGAGAACCTGTACTTCCCACACACAAAGCAACAAGTACACGTTAATGGTGGCCCCACATGTGGCCCTTTTCTTCCTCATGTGACTTAATCCCCTTCTCTTATAGGGCACTGCTAGTGTCCCCAGTGAGAGTAGCACCTTGGAGCATACACAAGGGTCACGACATTGAAGCCGATTATGTGCAATTGTTGGGGCCTCCTTTATGGTCATAAATAAAAACAATCTGGCACTGCAATAATTTTAGGGCCATTGATCACTGTGTGCACTAAACTGATGAGGGATAAAAGCATTTAAACCGTTCCCTATGGGAAATTTGGGGTATTTACTTTTTTGCGGCTCCACAGGCAAATGTGATTTTAAGGCTTGACATGTTTGATATCCATTTACCCGGCGTGACCCCGTCTTTCATATTTTACCAAAAAATTGGGTATTATATTCTTAGTATATTTTTTCTTAAAAATACTGGTTTGATAAACATTTGCGCAAAAGCCGTGCAAGATAAAAATTGCAAATAGCTTTTTGTTGTTCTACAGGGCCTCTGCTTTCTGAACATATATCATTGTTTGGGGGTTTGAAGTCATTTTCAAGCCAAAAATTCTAATCTTATCAGGTGTGCGCAAATAGTAAGAAAATGCTCCAGTGGTTATTGCACAGCTGGAGAGCCGGAGTTTCCAAACATCAGATTTCTGCCTCATTTACTCAATGCCTCTCACCCTACAACATCATGCATATGATATAATGCAAACCCTTTGCACAGACGGAGGTAGCACAGTCAGCACCAGCAATGAACACTATGCCTGGCTACAACATGAACACCTCAGGGGGCAGAAAAGGTGACGCCACACACACCAGGAAAGGGTTTGGGGTCACATTATCCCAGGAGAGGCCTATTGTTAATATTTACATCACCACAAAAGGTTCTTCATGACAATGTCCACCCCAATATTAAAGACGGGTTCTCTTTAAAATATGACTCAGGGCTTGCTGGGCATTGTAGTCCCCCAGTATATAAATGAACCACTGGGCTGCCTTGTAGTCCCTCAGCACATGGAGGACCATCTAGGCCTTACAGTCCCTCAGCATATGGAGGGCCTACTTGGCAATTTGGCGCCTCAACATATGTAGGCCCCGCTGGGCCTTGCAGTCCCTCAGTCACCCCCTCGCACCACATATACGGCCCGCCCCGCCCCCTGCCGATCGCCATTTTGTTCCCCACCGGCCAGGCTTTTCCGCCATGTCGGGCTCCCCTCACCTCCTCCTCGGGTCACTTACTCGGGCGGGAATAGGCGCAGCTCCTCGATCTTGCCCAGGAAGCCGAAGAGGGTTATCATCTGCTCGGAGCTGGCGCTCGGGGACACGTTGGTCACCTGGATGACGTCTGTGCTGGAAGTCATGGCGCCTCCTGCTCTAACACACAACAAGAGGGACACACACGATTAGTACAGGTCGGCGGGAGGGACAGCGGCCGGCTACAGCTCGCAGCACGCCGCCATCCAACAACGACAGGAACCTGACTGGGCCGCGACGTCCCACAATGCACCGAACGCGCCTGCGCACTAAGCAGCATAGAAGGTCCGCCCGCCGCTCTAAGCTTGGCCACGCCCCCACAACAGTGGTTCCCGCCTCAGCAAGTACGTCTGCTTTCCCGCTCAAGCCGCGCCCACTTTACCTCAAGAAAATTCTCGTCGTCTATGTCACGCCCCCTTCCTTTCTTTTAGTGAAAGCAAGGCACTACAGTATGTGTGGCCGATATAAAAGGACGATAATGGTGGCTGCGGAGACTTCTCTGCTGCCAACAATCCCCATTAACTATTCCCAGACCTTAAAGTGACCTTGTCACCATAGCTCACTTTTTTGCAAAAGCATGCCTGTGAAAAAAAAATAGTGACTACACTAATTTTTCCGGGTGAGCCGTGTCTGGAAACGCAGCCACTTCACTGCTCCCGAGCCTCAAGTACTTGATTCTTCAGATGGATTGAATACCTACCCCCCGGAAACAATGGTTCCTTCTGTTGGCTCACATGTCTTGTATTGATCTATGAGCCGGCAGGAGAAACCACAGCAGCTGCAGGGGGAGAGGAGTATAGCACACACCAGCAAGTGTAGGATACTTGAAGCATCTCTAAGGCATCGCACCACCCATACACTACATGCAGCGGTGCGCATAACGCATGCAAATTGGTGTGAAAGTGACACTAAACTCAGGAGTTAAATCTTAAAAAATACATTCATGTGTCTTAGTAACAAAAATGCATCTTCCTCTGACTGGCAGTGCTGCGTGGGAACATGGAGCCACCTTCCTGGCCAATCAGGAAAGCGGGTGGTGGGTAATGATTCAGCGCCCGGCTTCCTTATTGGCTGGGAAGTCGGCTCCATGCATTTTGTCTGGCTCGATGCTAATTGGCCAAGAAGCTGGTTTCCCAGCCAAACAGCAGCGAGCTAGCTTCCTGGCCAATCAGCATGGAGCCGGCTTCCCAGCCGATCTGGCCAGTCCTGATTGGCCAGAAAGCCAGCTCCATGCTGACTGGCTAGGAAGGCGACTTCCCGGCCAAGCAGCATGGAGCCGGCTTCCCGGCCAATCAGTAAGGCGGGTAATGACCCTCCTCCTGGCTTCCTGATTGGTCGGGAAGCCGGCTCCATGCTGACTGGCTGGGAAGGCTGTTTCCCGGCCAATCAGCATGGGGCCGGCAAACAGAATGGAGTCGGCAGCACGGGCAATCAAGAAGCCAGGAGGCGGGTAATGTCATGCTCCATGCTAGCGGAAGTATCGGTATCGGCGAATACCAAAACATACTGGGGGAATTTATCAAAAGTGGAGCAGACAAATTCTGGAGCAGTTTCCTATGGCAACCAATCAGCTTCTCTCTTCAGTCTGTTCAGTTAAGATTTGAAAATGAAAGAGAAGCTGATTGGTTGTCATGCACATCTGCTCCAGATTTTGTCTGCTCCAGTTTTGATAAATTCCCCTTAATGTATATATTGGTACTCGTATTCGATACTGAAAACCAGTATTGGCGCATTCCCTAGTACAGATATATACAGATTGTACACTACCCTCTTGTCTCGGATTGTCACTGCACTCTCTGACTTTATTTGGTGCTCTATAACGCCTCTATGGTAATAAAATATACACTTGTATAAAATTGACGTAATGTTTGGCTCTATGGCGGCATCTAGTGGCAGTAGCAGGGCAGTGACAGTTCTTTCTAGTGGTCGCCATCTAGTGGTAAAAGCCGGGAAATGACAGGTCTGTGATCTCTATCGCCATCTAGTGGTGGCGGTCGGGCGGTGACCGGTCTAGGCGGGTTCCGCAGTTTGAATGCACGTTGTGTCACCCCGGACATGTCTCGGTTTGCTCGGGGAGACCGAGCTCCGAATCCTCGGGCCGGTTTCCGGGACCAGAGGGAAAAGGAGCCGCCCGTTCCCCAGGGATTGATTAAGGCGGCTCGGAAGAGCGGGCAGCTGAACCTGTCTGGCAGAGGCCTTACCGAAGGTGAGATGAGAGGGGTGTGTGCAGGTGATAGGTGTAATGTTGGGGTGTCTGCAGGTGATAGGTGTAATGCTGGGGTGCCTGCGGGTGATAGGTGTAATGCTGGGGTGCCTGCGGGTGATAGGTGTAATGCTGGGGTGCCTGCGGGTGATAGGTGTAATGTTGGGGTGCCTGCGGGTGAGAGGTGTAATGATGGGGTGCCTGCGGGTGATAGGTGTAATGCTGGGGTGCCTGCGGGTGATAGGTGTCATGTTGGGGTGCCTGCGGGTGATAGGTGTCATGTTGGGGTCTCTACAGGTGGTAGGTGTCATGTTGGGGTCTCTGCGGGTGGTAGGTGTCATGTTGGGGTGTCTGCAGGTGGTAGGTGTCATGTTGGGGTGGTAGGTGTCATGTTGCGGTCTCTGCGGGTGGTAGGTGTCATGTTGGGGTGTCTGCAGGTGGTAGGTGTCATGTTGGGGTGGTAGGTGTCATGTTGCGGTCTCTGCGGGTGGTAGGTGTCATGTTGGGGTGTCTGCAGGTGGTAGGTGTCATGTTGGGGTGGTAGGTGTCATGTTGCGGTCTCTGCGGGTGGTAGGTGTCATGTTGGGGTGTCTGCAGGTGGTAGGTGTCATGTTGGGGTGGTAGGTGTCATGTTGCGGTCTCTGCGGGTGGTAGGTGTCATGTTGGGGTGTCTGCAGGTGGTAGGTGTCATGTTGGGGTGGTAGGTGTCATGTTGCGGTCTCTGCGGGTGGTAGGTGTCATGTTGGGGTGTCTGCAGGTGGTAGGTGTCATGTTGGGGTGGTAGGTGTCATGTTGCGGTCTCTGCGGGTGGTAGGTGTCATGTTGGGGTGTCTGCAGGTGGTAGGTGTCATGTTGGGGTGGTAGGTGTCATGTTGCGGTCTCTGCGGGTGGTAGGTGTCATGTTGGGGTGTCTGCAGGTGGTAGGTGTCATGTTGGGGTGGTAGGTGTCATGTTGCGGTCTCTGCGGGTGGTAGGTGTCATGTTGGGGTGTCTGCAGGTGGTAGGTGTCATGTTGGGGTGGTAGGTGTCATGTTGCGGTCTCTGCGGGTGGTAGGTGTCATGTTGGGGTGTCTGCAGGTGGTAGGTGTCATGTTGGGGTGGTAGGTGTCATGTTGCGGTCTCTGCGGGTGGTAGGTGTCATGTTGGGGTGTCTGCAGGTGGTAGGTGTCATGTTGGGGTGGTAGGTGTCATGTTGCGGTCTCTGCGGGTGGTAGGTGTCATGTTGGGGTGTCTGCAGGTGGTAGGTGTCATGTTGGGGTGGTAGGTGTCATGTTGCGGTCTCTGCGGGTGGTAGGTGTCATGTTGGGGTGTCTGCAGGTGGTAGGTGTCATGTTGGGGTGGTAGGTGTCATGTTGCGGTCTCTGCGGGTGGTAGGTGTCATGTTGGGGTGTCTGCAGGTGGTAGGTGTCATGTTGGGGTGGTAGGTGTCATGTTGCGGTCTCTGCGGGTGGTAGGTGTCATGTTGGGGTGTCTGCAGGTGGTAGGTGTCATGTTGGGGTGGTAGGTGTCATGTTGCGGTCTCTGCGGGTGGTAGGTGTCATGTTGGGGTGTCTGCAGGTGGTAGGTGTCATGTTGGGGTGGTAGGTGTCATGTTGCGGTCTCTGCGGGTGGTAGGTGTCATGTTGGGGTGTCTGCAGGTGGTAGGTGTCATGTTGGGGTGGTAGGTGTCATGTTGCGGTCTCTGCGGGTGGTAGGTGTCATGTTGGGGTGTCTGCAGGTGGTAGGTGTCATGTTGGGGTGGTAGGTGTCATGTTGCGGTCTCTGCGGGTGGTAGGTGTCATGTTGGGGTGTCTGCAGGTGTATCTGCGGGTGGTAGGTGTAATGCTGGGGTCTCTGCGGGTGGTAGGTGTAATGCTGGGGTCTCCGCGGGTGGTAGGTGTAATGCTGGGGTCTCTGCGGGTGGTAGGTGTAATGTTGGGATGTCTTTGATTACTGAAAGTAGTAATACGTTGTTTGCAGGTAGTGGGTGAAAGTGGGGTGCCTGCGGGTGATAGGTGTAATAGGGTGTCTGCGACTGAGAAATGCAGTAATGGGGTGTCTACAGGTGATAGTTGTAATAGTGGGGTGTCTGAGGATAATGTAAGCAGCAATGGGGTGCCTGCTGGTGATGCAAGCAGTAATGGGGTGTCTTTAGATAGTAGCTGTAATAATGGGGTGTCTTCAGGTGATGGTAGCAGTAGTGGGGTGCCTGTGGCTGATAGGTGACCCCAGCAGAGAGAAGAGAACTCGCCCAGGACGGTTTTTGGTTTGTAGTCTCATCTCCTTTCCTCCCGTCCAGTTCCGGTGAGCGTCTGGCGGATGAACGTGGACCCCCCGGAGGAGGCGCACGCCAACGTCGGCTTTGATGGGACGGACCGATGGTGGGAACAGACAGAGCTGACCAAGCTGATCCTCGCCTCCAACAAACTGCAGTCCCTCTCTGAGGACATTCGCCTGCTGCCCGCCATGGTGGTGTTGGATGTAAGTGACTGACGGGGGCACGGTGCCACGGCATCATTCTCTGTATCACGCCGCCCATTGATACATCTTATGGAACGGACATTCCAAACACTTTACAACGTAAAGGCAAAGTCCACCTACGACCGGTCCTTTACACGAGGATGGATGTGTCAGATCCTCCCCCC